AGCGAAGAAGGGGAAATTGGCATGTCTGATTTAGCGCAGCTGTTTAATTCAGAAACAGTGGATGATGACTTTGATGGGTTCGATTAATACTTTGTAATAAATACATGAATAAAGCACAATCATACTCAGTTTTGCTCTCGCTCTATTTTTCTACCTGAAAACTTAATTCAAAAGCAGACTCTGGGCAGGGTTCACCGCGGCGGCTGGCAGGTGTTTTTCATCTAAATAATCTAAATCTTGCAGCTATATTTACTGTGATCAGGGGGAATAAAGTAGTTTTAATATGTTTTTAAGTGAGAAAGTCCACCTGAAAACTTAATAATTGCAGTCAGTTCATCCAGATTATCTATTTCTGTCGGAGGCGCTCAGACCCCCACATACCAGCGGTGCACCGACAGTAGAAATCCCTTCATCAGCAGCCTCTAGGCTGGGCAGCCTCTGGGTTCACCACGGTGGCTGGCAGGTGTTTTTCATCTAAATAATTTAAACTGCAGGCACCAGGATACCGGTAATAAAAGCGGACATATTCTGTCGGCAGATTTCAGGATTTTAAGTTAATTTAGGAGTGATCACAGCGCTGTGTCATCTGAGATGTGTCTGTCTCACGGCCAGCTCCCAGGTTTGATTAATACTTTGTAATAAATACATGAATAAAGCACAGTCATACTCAGTTTTGCCCCCGCTGTATTTTTAAATATGCAGTAGAGGTATTTAAAGGTAGTAGAGGACATGTACCTGTATATAAAAAACGCGCCCTATAGTCCGGTGCGCCTTATGTGTGTGTTAAATACAGAAATGGGACACATAACTGAGAGTGCGCCTATTAGTACGGTGTGCCTTATGGTCGTGAAAATACGGTACCTGACTTCTTCAAACCATGGAAGATACACCTAAAAAGCACCTTAAAAGACTTAAAGGATCTGCAACTAATTTATTTCTGCAATAGACGGTGGCATGCCAGGAGTCCAGTTCAACACATGCCTTACCAGGTAAGGAAAGTAGTGGCAATGAAAGTAGGACCACATCACTCTTAGACAAAGGGCCATGGTGTAGTGATATCTGTTAGATGTATTTTTTTGATTAAATCAAAAAATAAGTAAGTATGTTTGAAGTGTTTGTGGGTTGGATCTCAATGTACAATCATGAAGGTGAAGCTGTCTGATTTAGGAACCTCTAGTCTAATTTTTGTTATAATGATTTGATTTTGTTGTCTCAAAAGAAGGACTTTTACCTGCACTTGAGCTGATGGAATCAGAACCTTACTGCCTTGTTATTGAGTGATGGGAGATGTATCAATGATTGGTATCAAGTAATAAAAATATGGTGTCAGTCTATCATAGTCTAATCAGGGAACATGACATACCCTATATGGGGTGTCATGGCCTTAGAATCAAAAAGAGAAGCACCAATATTTGGTGGGAGGTCAGATAGATTAAAAGTTGTAACACAAATCTACCTCTCATTTCAACCTGCAATTCCTAGAAGCCTACATACTAAACTGTAATAAACTGGCCTGTACTTGTATATCTTTTATCAAGTCTGAGGTTTCCAAATTTGTAATGATGGTGTAAGCTGCCCAGTGGAACGACACAAATAAGGCTGGCACATAATTGGATCTATGGGGCTCTCTGACAGCCATCAGCAGGCATGGAGGGTGAAGTGTCTTGTTCAAGGACACAAATTTCTTTCCCACTAGTTTCCGAGTGGTTGACCTCTACCTTTTTAGCCACAGTTTACCATTCAAGATTATCCATTGTGTAATTATATTTATCTTTTGTTATTGTTGCATACGTTTTTGGCCATCTAACAACTAACCACACAGTTATTACACTGGGTTTCAAAAATTGAAGCAGATTTTGAAATAATGAAGGTTGTCAAGGTTGGCGGTGTAAAAGGACATAAACAAATAAGCAATAAAACTGCTTGCATAAAAACTTGAATAAAACGGTCGAGGAAAAATACTGCCAGAACATCAACACATTAGTTGATAAAAATCTCAATGGAGGGTTTAATCAGTAAATGTATGAGCCACACATATTGGAGGATTAAGCTGCCTGAGAAGCCGACTTTCTTGTGTCTTTTGTTGTCATTTAGGATGCTAGTCTTCTCATCTGTGTCAGTGTTTTGCAGAGAGACATTTTATTTCTGGTTTTGTGTTTTATATAATTTTTTTAAATGATTGGGCTTACTGACACAGGCTAATTTAAACAACATGAAACTGAATGGAGCAATTTATATATATATATAAAATACAAAACAGTCTCTATCTAGTCTGGGGTAGTAAGGTCTACAGTACTGTTTTTTGTTTTCTTCTTCATATTAATAAAACTCTGGGTTTTGTTTCCCCTTCGTCCCTTCCTACTGATGCAATGTTTCGGTAACCACAGGTTAAATTGTTAATGCCTGCAAGTATGCTTGCACTATCTTAGCTTCTTAGCGGTGTATCTCTTAGCTACAGCTGTAGTTACACTGAAATTATAAGGGTGCTACATTCCCATAAAGAAATTAACTTTAGTAAATAGCTATTCACTAAATATGACTTAAAAATATTTTGTTTTTTGTAAACAGTATATCGAATATGTACAAATGCTAATAACACGAATCAAAATGAAAGTATAACAATTTATGAGTAAATATTGTATCAGTGTGCAGTTACTTTAGCAATGTTAGTATAATACCATTTTTTTTGTTCATTTTTCAAGACTTTGCAGCAGCGTTTTGCACCTTTCTGGTTGAGCTTTCTTTCCTTGTTGTATGATGTTAGTTCTATTTTTTATTGGACTATCATATGATAAGCAGTGTGGAGGTTCACCCAAACACGCTGGACTTTGGAGTGGGGACAAGTTCCTCTTTTAGACTTTAAACAGTAGTGTAAACTCTGAAGTTTTTTAACTATCAGACGGTGTAAGAGCTGCTCATTTATTTTACATGTTGGTAGTGTATGTGCAGAAACAATCTGTATATGTTGTACAGTGGGATATTACCATAAAAAAACAACAATTAGCATATTAAAACAGGAAGGAAATACCTGAGTTTCAATTGTGTCTGTGAAACATTAACCACAATATAGAATTTTCCTAAAGCAAAGTGAGTAAAGAAGTGTCTCATGCACCTTGGCAGGGAGTATTACAGGGTATATCGACCAGTCTGGGCGAACAGACAGACAGCAAACACCCAAAAAAACAGAAATGTCGCTGTGTCAGGATATCAGCTGGTCAGATCTAACTGTTTATTTTGTGGGTATCAATATTATTTGTTTTAATGTCTGGTCGAGGTGTCCTTTATTTGGGCTCTGGGGTAATGACCAGCTTCAACTAGCAGTTAAGTAATACAAAAAAAGAAAAAATAGACAAATCATTATTTCATATATATATATGTGTGTGTGTGTGTTATATCTGTGGTGCTCCTGACAGTGAGGAGATTCTTCCCTCTAGAGGCTAAAAAGTGTAAAAAGTGTGTTCATATTGAGCCTTGTCAATCATAACTTATTGTAGGGTCATGGGCAGTATGTTGTCATTTAACCACAGTTTTTTTTATGGATGTTAATTATGCAGTTGAACACAGCATATTTTATTTTGTTATCTGTCTCAGAAATTCTTGCATTTTAATCAAAAGGCCTATAAATTTGCCTTTGGCTATAGAAGCACTGTGTAGACTGGATCGGTTTCCTAAAGCAATAGCAATGTTTAGTTGTACTGTCACTGTGGAAATGTGATGTAAATATGAATAAGACAACAACATATTAACTGAGAAACTAATGGAGCTTTAATATTCCCTCTATAACCTATAGCCTGCATGTGGGTTTTTATGCAGTGTGCGACAATAGTTGTGGGTGGGCATAAAGACAGACCAGTAAATTAAGAGCTTTGCCAAAGTCAATCATTGACCTCCGGCCCAGGGTGTCAAGCCTATTTTGTTCAATTCAATTCAAACAAATTTCCCAAAAGGGAAATTTATTTTTGGTACAGCTCGTCCATGGGACGAGGTCCGTCCAGGGGATGCCTTTTTGTCATCAAAAGGTGCTGCTACATGCACCAATTGACATCCTCACGCTTGAACATGTTGTTCTTTATGGACAACCCATGAATGGAACAAAAGTCTTATAACAATGCACCACTTGGGTTCAGAGGTGTGGATCCTTTCTTCCTGATCAACCTCCTCCAAGTGTCACTGTTGTTTCTCACATGTGGACTGAAATCTACCAGCAAAATGATGGAATCCCCAAAAATATATGCATAATATATGCATATCTGTAGTGTAATTGTATCAAAATAAGACAACCAACCCCCATAGCACTAAAAAAACACTATGTACTTTAATAGCAATTCAGCCTTTTAGCTATGAGCTTATACAGAGCTACAGATCAGCAAGTTTTAAATTTGTTTTAATCTTGTTTTACTGTATGGAGTTAGAGAATGTAAGGCTGAATGATGAGTGGTAGTTTGGAATAAAAAAAAATAAAAAAAAAATAAAAATTATTTAAAGTTGAGCTTGTTTAAGATCTTATTTCTGCTTGTTGAAGTGGTAACAATGCAAGTAGAGTCTAATTAGTTACTAATGAAAGTACATGGTTTGGTTAGATAAGGACGAAAACCTCCTGCCACAAAAACAGCTTCTTCACATCTACAGCTGGAGTGGTTTAAAAAGCCCTCATTTCCTGTTAAAAAAATAATAGAAATATCTTAACACATATAAATACTGTTCAATTGCACTACATACTATTCTTTCTAATTGTATAGTTTTAAGATTTGTCATGGATTTTCTCCTCTGCAAAAAGTTGCACAAATTTTTCTCCATTCTAATAACATTCCAAGATAACTTGCAGTTTTTTATTTTTTATATTTCCAAATCTATTGATATTCATTGTATGGTCGTCTATATGTGACAGTTTACCACTAGCACACATTTCTCCCCCATATTGAACACTACTTTTGAAAATATGCCACTCACAACATGGCGTAAGACGTCAAACCTTACGTAGGATCTAAATCTTCTTGCGGCGCCCCGCCCTCGGAAACAATCTACAGTCATGTGACTTTAGCTTCTGGTTTAGCATGTAGAGACCTGAGTTATAAAATCGTTAAAGGAGGTAAGTAAAATGTTGTACAGCATTGTTTTGTTAGATTTTTTGGTTGGTTTCTCATTTTAGTGCTAAAGTACCGACATACCGGCGGACTAAGCAGCTGTTGGTCGCAGAACTTAACGGTCAAACGAGGTTATTAGCTTTAATGTTAGCTTGTTTTATTTCACAGTAAAACTACACCAGGTCAGGCAGAGTTTTTTTACTCACTGTTTAAATATTCAACTATTAAAATATGTTTATTTTTTTCTTGCCAGCCGGGAGATTAAAAAAAGCAAAATGGCAGATGTGAGTATTGTTTATTCATTTGTATTTGCAATGCCAACTACCGTATATCATAGAAAGTAGTTTTGATTATTTGACCCCCACTCCAATTCTGATTTTGCTCACTTTAATGTGAATACATTTGATTAGATGTTACGTATTAGAGCTGAAAGAAAGCTGAAATCTGTATAATATAAGAATAACATAACTTGTTATGGTGTTTTGAAGTATTTGCTTCTGTTTACATGAATCATGAGGTTCAGTCACGAGTGTCCTGGTGGTTTGGAAACTTGGTCAAATCAAAATGTCCAATTAATTAGCACCTTGGAAAAATATATTCAGTTAACAGTTACTTATAAGCCATTAAAATCATTATTTCCTACCAAAATATCATCTGAAAAGGAGACAAGACGTTAAAATGAAAGCTTTCTAAAAAAGTTATCAATGTTCCTTAATTTACCTCAAATGTTATCCTAAACACTGTAGATTAAACGTCTTAGATATTATTAATGTCTGCTTACTGATCTAACTTTCTAGTGGCTTGTTTTAATTGTAATGATGTCCCCTAGAGATATGTGCAACAGCATTTAATTTGTCACTATGTTCATGATACAACTGTCTTAAGTGAACTGATGATTCTAGGCTGTACAAAGTGCAATTTAAAGCCATTGGCAGCTGGGGGAGTTTTCTCCAGGGGCGGGGGGGCTATGAGTTCAAGATAGACGTATACCAAAAACCAATCAAAGGTATACCAAATTATCACACCAGTGTTTTATATGAATGCCAACAACAACAAAAAAACATTATAAAAACAATTTATGAAAACAAAACATAACTGCATGTACATTTTTCTTTTTGTACATAAATCTTGCCCTTCTGAGGCTTTGTAAAGGTAAATCTGTGTTTTGCATGGTAAAGCTATTAGTCAGCTTTATATCTTTTCAATTTATAAAAACTATTTTCTGAGCATGTGTTTATTTAAGAACAACTTTGCAAATTAACAAACACTAAGAAAAAGTGTCCTATTTTATATTATTTTCCATGTGAATCACAGATTGTTCATTCTTCTTTGCCTTTTCTAAAGGCAGGCAGTCAAGGCTGCAGAATAAAGCGTTAGCCTCGCTGCATGCAGTTAGCCAAGCCAATTTTGGTATTTGGCCGGTTAGGTCCAAACAGTTTCACCTCCAGCTTTTGCTTCCCTGCCTTCCGCGACTCGGCCTGTCAATCACCCGCACTGCACTGGTGACGACAGTTCCTGTCACCCCAGGACATAGCTTTGGTGCGCCCCGAGCTCTCATATACATCTGTATTGAAGAGAAGCTACTGCGCACCTACATTTTAAACGAGAGTCAATGAAAAAATATTTTTGTGCCGGCGGAAATACACCAAGCCAACGAAAAAAAAAAAAAAAAAAGCTTTACTCGTCTTTAGATATTTGTCTTTTTCTTCTAAAAATATATATATTTATTTCAAAAATATTTAATTTTATAATTTAATTTAAAAAATTTTTTTCTTATGTCTTAATCAAGGTCATTGGGTGGGTGGGGTGGCGCCCTAGCTCCATCTATTGGCAAGCCACCGCTGTTCAAAACATTTTAAGGCTGGTTTTCAAACACTGGTGCATGTGTACCGCAGTAATTTTTAGGTATTAACATTTATTTTGATTTCCCACTTTGAATAATAATGTAATATATTATTACTGCTGGAGTCTCAAAACACTATACCTTTACCTGACATCTGGGTTTTCACAAAATTTAAATGGTTGAAGAAGGAAATAAAAGAAAGACAGACAAATCTGTTTTAGCGAATGTGAATAGTGGCTGTCAAGGCCAGTCTACTTTTATAGTAAACAGCCAGGAGGCATGGTAATTTAAATTCATCTTGTTTAGCTACATCATAACCCGAGTCTAATTCTCTGATCTGTCAGGGTTTTGTTTAGTAGAACTGAGTGATATGAAATTAAAATCTTATCATGATATTTTGTGATGCTATTATAACGAAAAAATTGATAACACTCTTCAGTAAGTCTTTGAAATCCTTCTTAGGTAACTGTAACTTTGAATGCATGCCACAGCAATCAGAGCTTCAAAATACTACCCTTGAAAAATTATACACATTTTAAAAAATGGCTTCTTAAGGACACCCTTTTAACAAATGAGTGGGATTTACAGTATATCACTAAACATCCCATATTAACCTCTTTTAACCACCAATGGTTCTTTTTAGATACTAATCAAAGTATTGTATTTTCCATTGCTATAAAAAAAAAAAACTCCTAGAGCTAGAATCATGCCTTTATAAATATATATATTTGTACATTTAGGTAGTTACAGAAGCCTGGTAACTTGTTAGTAGAATGAAAGGAATTGATTAGATCAGGATTTTCTGAGAGGACTGTCACCTAAATCTGAAAAAACCCCAAAACAAATTGATAAGTCTCCTGCATGTGTAATCTAAAATCATTAACATAATGTCTGTACCCGGATGTTTAGCACTGCTTTGAGTTCTTTTACCCTGATTAGATTCGACAAGTGATCAAGCATTTTTTTTTTTTCTACAGGATTTAAAGAGATACCTCTATAAACAGCTGCAAAGGTTGGTGTTGAAGGATCACAGCTATCCATGTTCCAGTTTTCTGTAGATGTGTTAAATCAACCATTTGTTCTCCTCAGTGTTGAAGGGCTTCATGCTGTTGTGGTCACAGATAGAGATGGAGTCCCGGTAATCAAAGGTAAGGATCCTGTGACTCGTCTTTGATTTTGTAGATATTACACTACAAATCTTTAAAGGAGCAATAAGTGAAATTTCATCACCAAGTGGGGCTGTGAATACTACCTGTAGACCAAAACAAAATGCCACTCTCTGCCACCACTCCAGCAGCCATATTCCAATGAAAAAGATACCTTTAAATCTTCACATCGCAGTTTTTTACTTCTTTCTGTTACATAATGAATTCTCACTTATTGCTCTAACTCAATTAGTTTGAGGTTTTTCCCCGCATACATTTTAAAATGAATGAATGCGGGAACTGACCAGTTTCTGTATCTCCAACATGGCTGCTTTGTCCTTCCAGTTGCCAATGATAACGCCCCGGTCCATGCCCTGAGACCCGGCTTTTTGTCCACCTTTGCTCTTGCCACGGATCAGGGCAGCAAGCTTGGCCTCTCAAAGAACAAGAGCATCATCTGCTACTACAACTCCTACCAGGTCAGCATGTCTCTACCCTCTCTCATACCCCTTTCCTGTCATTCTACTGTCGAAAAAAGTAGCCACTAGGGCCGCAAAAACTCGAGACAAAAAAGAAAGAAAATGTCATACAGTGTATGCCCAGGCTTATATTAAAGGAATAGTACACCCAAAACATGATTAGCCTT